CCAGGCAAAAGGCACCCCCAAACCCCCCCGGGTTGCCCCCAATTTTGAAACCCCAGGGGGGGGGGGGGAAGGGAGGCTTTTTTTTTTTCCCCCCCCCCCCCCCCCACACCCCCTTTTTTTTTCCCCCCCCCCCCCCACACACACACACTTTTTCTACCCCCCCCCCACACACACACTCTCTCTGCCGTATTGGGAGGAGTTGAAAGCGCAAGCCCCAATCGAGCGTGGCGCGGGCATTTATCCACCGCCATGGACTGACTCTGAGTGACGCGCATCATCACGCTACAATATTGAGGCACTCTGCGCCCTGCTCGCACGTTTCGCTGCTACTATCTAGGAAAGGACGAGGATCATGTTTACTACAGGAACAGCAAAGTCCATGCCGACGCAGGAAGAGACCCAGCAGGGCAACACGCCTCCATTCGCGGCAATGCCAAGCACGTTCGACGTGCACCACAACGGCATACATGCGTCTTTTCTTTTCTTCCGCCGCAGACACCGCAGACAAGAAAAATCAACGGAGGACCTATCGATTGTCTCGTCGTCTCACCTTCGCGGCGCGGGCAGCCGCCTCGGCAGCCTTGGCCTCTTCGATGGCCTTCGCCTTCTGCTCCGCGTCACGGGCAGCGACTCCCTGTAAAAAAAAAAAAAAAAAGGCACGAAACACCCGCGTGCATAAATGTCGGTTTTGTCTGTTTCCCACTGAGGCTTGAAGGCTTTGCGTTGGTCAGTCAGCTCGATAAGGCAGGCCACCTGCTGTCTTCTCCTGACTTGTTTTTAGCTCCACGTGCACAGGCACGGTAACATCTTGCTCCGCCTATGTTGTAAGGTGGACTTGTATTGCTCTTCGCTCCTTGGTTTTCGAAATATTCTTATTCTTCTCCAGCATGGAATGCTCCCTACTTTTCGTGTTTTAGGGAGAGATGGGGGCCTCGTACTATTGTTTGTTCGATTATGTTGATCGTGTAACAGCGCAGACCCTCCTACTCCAAGTACACACCGAGCTAGCGGCGCTATGGGACGCGGTGGTCAGACACAACGCCGCTGTTTAGAGTGACACACACACCCCTGTGTCATCGCAGCACCGACCCGTCGATTTGCAATGCAAGAAGTACAAGTCCTTCGGCGAATGGTGTTCGGAAAACGGTGAAAGGCTGACTTCTTGATCAGTTCTTATGAACGGGCTATTTCCGGTGGAAAGCTTGTCTAGCCTTGTAGAGCAGAAGCTAGGACTGTCAGCAACACCCAAGCTTTGTTTGAGAGGTGCACGGCTGCTAAGTTACAGAGAAAAACACCCCCAACGACACCAAAACTCACACACCAAAAACAGCAGTATCCATGCATACAATGTTGGGTCAATCTGCAAGGAATTGTACACTATAATAAACCAAAGGCACAGGACACACACAGGAAAAAAAAAATCCAGAGCCCGTCTTCACCCAGCCCGCGTTCCATCTTCCATACAGACAGGCCGACACAAACCTTAACCTTCCTTCGGTAATGAAAAACAGAGAAACGGAAACGAATGCCCCCTCCCCTCGTTCTTGCTATTTAATCCCAACGCACTCCCTCCCCCCGCTCGAAAAAACGCCTGAAACGACCACGACCAAGCAACAACCAAGCAACACCGAACCGTACCGTGATGGTGGTTTGACGAGCAGAGCAGCAGATGAGACACACACCTACCTTGGAGATGACGGGGCGCAACGCGGCCAAAGCGACGACCGGAGCGACTACCCACGGCAGGGCGCCAAGGGCGACTCCCTCCGCGACCTCCCCGGTGGCGACGGCGCTAGACGACTTCTTAGCCGGCGTCGGGACCGGTGCCGGAGCAGGTGCGACAACTGAGGAAAGGAGGGGTGTAGGGGGGGGGGGGGGGGGGG